CTACTTACCTACCTACCCACCTACCTTGTCTGTCTGTCTGTGTTTATTTCCATTCCTCTCTCTCTCTCTATCTATCCACCTACCTTATCTATCTGTCTGTCTCTCTTTCTCTCTCTCTTTCTCTACTTACCTACCTACCCACCTACTTTGTCTGTCTGTCTGTCTGTCTGTCTATCTGTCCATCTATCTATCTTCTATCTATTATCTAAATACCTAGAAACAGATCAAGGAGAGATTCAACCTAGAAATAAGGAGAAATTTTCTGACAATGAGAACAATCCACCCATGGAACAGAAGTTGCCTTCAGAAGTTGTGGGAGCGCCATCACCGGAAACCTTCAAGAAGAGATTGGACTGTCCTTTGTCGGAAATGGTGCAGGGTCTCCTGCTTGGACAGGGGGTTGGACTAGATGACCTCCAAGGCCCCTTCCAAGTCTGTTAATCGTCAGTTAAGAAGCCAAGATAGGAGCCGGGTTTCTCTTAGCAACCGGGCGACTGTCTTAACCGTGGCAGAGATTCCCTTAACAACGGTTGAACAATGGGGCAAAATTGACTTAACTTATTTAACCAATGCTTCCCTTAGCCCCAGGTACATTGTGGGTCAATTTTGGCCGTTAAGTCGAGGACTACCTGCGCAGGGACCCCAAGCCGGTTCTCCACCCTCCCGGGACGGTGTGTCAAGGCTACGGAGACGCATAGGGGTGGGATTCAAAAATCCCAGAAACCGATTCGCTGCCCGGTTGCTGGGTGGGCACGGCCTACCGGAACTTCCGGGAGGGCTATTTTTCACCTTTCCCAGAGTCCGGAGGCTTCCCTCGGGCCTCTGGGAGGGTGAAAACAGCCTCCCCTGGACTCCAGAGGCCTTCCGTAAGCCGGAAACAGGCCTGTTTCCAGACTTCTGGTCCTTCCAAGAGGGCTGTTTTCCCGCCTCCCAGAGCCTCCGCGCGAACCCGGCCCTTACCTCCATCCAAAATGGGCCGCGTGGAGACTCCCGGGAGAGGCGGGGTGGGGTGGAAGGGGCCAGCCGGTCGGTTCAACAACTAGTTTGGCGAACCAGATGCAAATTTAACACCCGGTTCTCCTGAACCGGTCTGAACCGGGGGAATCCCACCGGCGGAGCCGCACCTGGCACGACGGGAAGCTTCCGTAGTTTCATGTCATAGATGTTGTTGGCCAGGCTGAAGCGGTGTTGAAGGGCGGATAGGATGGCCAAGCCGGTGCCGTATGTCGTGTAGAAGACCCTGGCCTCCAGCACACGTTCCTGCACCACGTCCTGAGGGACAAAAGAGGAAAGAAGGACCTCAGGAGGAAGCGTGGATCTGTTCTGGTTCTGGTCCAAGGCCAGACAACGTTCTGACCTAGGCTTCCTTTCCATAAAACACGATCTTAGTTCCCGTCAAAAACCTTTTTTTTTATTTCCCACGGCTGCGACTTACGTTCATTCACAGCCTGCAAGGCTTCGCAAACGGTCTTTCAGAAAATAGAACAGAAGAGGAGTTGGAAGGGAACCTTGGAAGTCATCTAGTCCAACCCCCTGCTCAGGCGGGAGACCCTACACCATTTCAGAGAAGTGGCTGTCCTTCTGCTGCGGATTCCAGTCCTCCCTCCAGTTAACCCTGGGTTTATAGCAGAAGTCCAAAGGACGCATAGGGTTTCACGCACCATGCAAAGCCCCGGATGTGGCTTGCTTCTTGGAGGCTTAGCCTGTGGCAAGAAGACTCCACGCGCACAACCGTTGTCTTGAACCCAGGCTCCACCGCAAACCCTCCGCCCGCCGTCACTTACGTTGGTCATGGTGACTTTCTTCTTGAATTCGCCGAACAGGCTGTGGAGAAGGACGATTCCGTTCTCTTGGACGCTGAGCAGCTCCTCACTGGTGGTCCAGCCCAGGAACATCGCCGGAGAGTCCTTCCACTATTGGCAAAGAGAAGGAAGCGCTTGCAAGACTGGTCAACCACGGGTCCCGTCAGCCCCACCGGGTTCCTAGGCTTGGCTTTCTGCCTGGATCTTTAACCTCAGACGGTCGACTAACTTTAACCTCAGACAGTCTACTATTGGCCTCACCCCTTTCCTAAGCGCATAAGAGTACCCCTTTTCTGTAGGGGGGCGTGCATAAGCGCACCAACGTGCCTACCGTCCCTGTCCTATTGTTTCTTTTATATATATATATTTATTTTTCTTATAGGTATCCATGTATTCATAACTTTGTTTTTACTTATACTTATCTTATAAGCAATTGGCAAAAAAATAAAAAAATAAAAAAAAAATCTCAAGGTGTCCTTAACTTGGATTCCCATGTTACCCTCCCTTCGTCCACAGCAGCTCCTCTCTCTGATGAAAACTACAACTCCTAGTATCCCCAGCCAGCTGTTGCTTCGCCCCCTTGTCCCACCCAGGATCCCCAAACATTGACGGACTACATCTCCCATCCTGCTGAACAATGGCCTGAGTTGGTTTAGAACCAGGGTTCGGATTTAAAATTTTTAACAACCGGTTCTGCGGGTGTGGCTAGGTAGGTGTGGCCATGTGACTGGGTGGGCGTGGCTTCTTCTTTTTTGCAGCAACACCCCCTTTTTTGCCTCCTGAGTCTCAGGGAAGTTTCCTGGGCAAAGCAGTAAGACAGCTGATCATCAAAACAGCTGACCATCAGAACAGCTGGTTATCAGAACAGCTGGTCATCAGAACAGCTGATCATCAAAATAGCTGATCATCAGAACAGCTGATCATCGGAACAACTGAAAGTCAGGAGGGGGAAACGACCTTAAGGAGTGACTGGGCGGGGGAGAATGCAGTCAGCGATGTCGGGCATGCACGATAAGGACTGGTTGACGGGGAGGGGCGGGGCCAGCCAGGGGTACGATTTGCTGGTTCTCCGAACTGCGCAGAACCATAACAACCAGTTCAATAGAACCGGTCTGAACCGGTAGAATCCCACCCCTGTTTAGAACTGTTTTTTTTTTCCCCTCAGGCTTGCTGACATTTTAAGACCCGTGGACTTCAACTCCCAGAATTCTACACTGCTGCTGCTGGCTGTGGAATTCTGGGAGATGAAGTCCACAGGTCTTAAGAATCCACAAGCTTGAAAAACTGTGGAGTAGCATGACAATTATGGGACGTCCTCGATTTACAGCCACAATCGAGGCCCCAAGTTTATGTCGTTAAGTGATACATTTTTGTTAAGTAAGCCTTGCCCCATTCCACAACCATTCTTGCCATCGTTGTTAAGTGAATCCCTGCAGTTAGGAACATGGTTGTTAAGTGAATCTGGCTTCCTCATCGACTGGGCTAGTCAGGAGGCCACAAAAGGCGATAATATGACCTGGGGACACTGCGACCGTCGTAAATATGAGTCCTGTTGCCAAGCATCTGAATTTTGATCCCATGACCCTGGGGACATTGCAACAGCTGTAAGTGTGAAAAACGGCCCTAAGTCGCTTGTTTCAGTGCTGTTGTAAGTGGGAACAGTGACTAAATGAACCGTCATAAGTCGAGGATTGCCTGGAACTGACCCCTGGGTCTTACTCACCACAACGCTGGCCAGCTGGATTCCTGAGGCAGAGTAGATCTCTAGAATAGGCCGGGAGCTGGGAGATTTCTCCTTCTTGTTTTTCATCAGGGCTACAAATTAAAATAATAATAAGAAGAAGAAGAAGGAGAAGGAGAAGAAACAAGAAGAAGAAGGAGAAGGAGAAGGAACAACAAGAAGAAACAAGAAGAAGAAACAAGAAGAAGAAGAAACAAGAAGAAACAAGAAGAAGGAGGAGGAGGAGAAGAAGAAGAAACAACAAGAATTCTTCACAGGTTCTGTGGGCATGGCCTAATTTGTGGGTGTGTCTTGGTGGTCATGTGACTGGCTGGACATGGCTTATATGTAAATATTATAAATATTCATGTAAATATTGAATTTTTTATTTAAAAAAAGAGCAACTTTTACCCAAAATCAAGCAAAGCGGGCAGGCAGATTGAGTTGCTCGCAGAATCACAGATTCACTCAGAGATCTACCGTTCTGCCATCTGCTACCTGAGTCTGCACTGAAAAATAGAAGCTTCAGTCCTAAGGAAGGTTCAGCTCTGCTTGTAGATTAGCTAGAAAGCAAGAAATCCAACAACTTCCTGCTTTCTAGCTAATCTAAATCTCCCGGCACAGCGGAAGAGCAGATGGTCAGGGGGAAAAATGGAAAAATAGCAATTTAGCAGGCAAGTTTGCTGGGTGTAAGGAGTGAGTAGGGAGTGGGCAGGGAAGGGAGGGGCCAGCCAGTAGCGCGATTTGCCGGTTCTCCAAACTGCGCAGAATCGTAGCAACCGGTTCTGTAGAACCAGTCTGACCAGGTAGAATCCCATCCCTGCATAAACTCCTGAACATACACAAAGCGAAAGGCAAGAAAAAGGATCAAAAGCAAACAAATAAAATAATCTCTATATATAAAAGCGAAAGACCACTCACGCATCATCACAAAATCTCCACAACCGTAAAGCCTACAATCTTGAAATTTGGCACCTATGTTCCTCTTGGCTGCTAGGTGCTTGCTAAGGAAGGATTTTTCGAAACGACCATCAGAGCATTTTGTATTTCCTATATTATTATTATTAACACGCTCTGATGCTAAGGAGTTCTACTCCCCCTCCCCACCTGGAAAGAAATCTCTTCCAAATGCAAAACACAAGCAGAGGAGAAGAGTTTCGGTTTCACAGCAGCACCAAGCAGCTTTAGTACAGAACAGTTGAGCTAAGCCACACCCAGGCTCCTTGCTGTCTCCTTCTTGCTCATACAGCAAATACTGTTTCAGTTTCCAAACAGCCCTCAACTCTCTCACACACCGACAGGACTTTATCCAGATGAATACCGAAGGATGCTGGTAGGCCGAGGCAGAATTTTTTCCCCCCTTATTTTCCTCCCCACAAACTAAGCCTGACCACATAGTTTCGTAGCGGAGCACGGGGACCCAGCTTGTGCCTAAATAAATGAACTGCGGCTAGGATTGTATTTGCTAAAAATTGGAAAAATGAGAAAATTCCATCGCAGGAAGAAATTATTAAGAAAATATTGGAATGTGCTGAGATGAGTA